ATCAAGGCTTGAAATGTTAGCTATCCAATCTATCATGTACAAAGATTGGATGTTAAATTACAAGGGTATCATCATTGAAATTTGAAAGTGATAATGCAAATGTCATCAAGGATCTCCAAGATGGGTTATATTGCAAAAATAATGAATTGGGAATTATATTCAAAGATCTCAAAAATGTTATATTTAATTGTATAGATAGGAAATACAATAAGTTAGTGGATCTTTGTGCTAACAATGCTATTGTTAGTTCGTTTATTTAGGATGATTTAGTTTTGAATAAGGTTCCTCCTCCTTTTATTTCCTTGTTAAAGGAGAAATCTATGGTTAATTCTTGGTTTCTTGTTTTTTATCTTTTTAATAAAACTTTAAATGCACTTGGTTGCATTTTTCTCAAAAAAAAAAAAATCACCCATTGTCTGAAGAATGGTGAATTCGAATAAACAAAGGTAGCTTATGAAGCCTCCTCAAAAAATCAAACAAGTGTTGGCATTTGAAGTATTATATGATGTCTCTGGCATTGGCATTAGAAGTGTCCTCAAGCAAGAGGGTCATTATAAGTTTTACTCAATATATGTTGGTGTCGCTTTCTACTCCATTGTACAAGCTCTTTGATGTTGGCATCACTTTCTACTTTCCTAAGATTTTGCACTTTACCCTGACCACAAAACTCTCAAGTATCTAAATGCTCAAAAGAAATTTAGTGCCCATCATGCCAAAATTCACATTATTTCTTAAGCATAAATTTCGTGTTGAGTAGTTGTTTACGCCTTAAGTTGAATGTGTACAATGGTGTCGTCAATGGATGTTTAAGTCATCAAATTCGACAAAGTTAAAAGCCATTACCCAAATTACGAAGACTTTTGTTAAATCTACGAATCATTGACTAAGTCCCCTAACCTTAGTCCAAATAACAAATGCAAGATGACTTTTGATTTTGAGGAACCTACTTTTGCATCCCTAATTCCTCTCTCAAATATTTTCTTATTGAGGAGTTGCACTCACGTGAAGTATTTGATCACTACTATCATGAGAAGATAATTGCACTAAGAATAGGTTATTTTGTCCTAGCCTCAAGAACAATTTTGCAGAATTGTTGCCCAATGTCACACTTATCAACTGGCAAAGAAAGGCAAAAATACAACTAGCCTATCCACTCCCCTTCCCATTTCTCATAGGCCGTGAAAATATCTGAGTATGGATTTCATTCTCAAATTCTCCTGCACAATTAAAAAATTTGACTCCATCTTGACAATCATTGATTGATTCTCCAAAATGTCACTATTTATTCTATATTACAAAACTCTTAACTCGTTACATGTTGTTTCTCTTTTCATTAAGAAATTTATGTGCCATCATGGTTTGCCCAAACCTATTGTCTCAAATAAGCATGTACGATTAATAAATTACTTATGATAGAACCTCTGGAAGAAGCTTGGAACCAAACTATTATTCTCCATGACTTGTCACCTACAAATGGGTAGTCAAACTAAGGAAGCTAATAGAAGTTTAGGTAACATAGTTTGATGCTTCATCACCATCCTTTCTTTCGATTGGGATTTAGTCCCCCTCGCTATCGAGTTTGTTTGTAACAGCTTCGTCAATAAGTCAATCGGCAAGAGCCCTTATCAAGTCACAACTAATATGAAGCAACGAAACTCATCGATTTCATTGAACTTCAATTGCATATGGGACTAATAAATTTGTATTTGCATTTACATAGAGCCTCAAAGGAAACATACTCAAATTAAGAAAAACATAAAACTAAAGTTGGTTCACATAAGCAACATATTTTTTTCAATGGCACAATATTTCGTTAGGTTAGGGAGATTTCACACAAACATTCAAAAAATTAACCATTAATCCTGTTCTTATAAATTGAGAGAAAATCTGATGAAATGATTATGAAGTATAACTCCCTTTGGACATTGGAATTTCCTCATTTTTCAAAATAATGGACTTAACAATATATAATGGGCAAGCCTTATATACTGTTGTTCCCTTTGTAAACAATTTTGACTTATAGATTCATATTGCTGCATCAATTCCATTAAAACCACCACTATTGCACCACTAACTTGTAATATGCAATCCCATTGAACTGATCAGAAATTGGATCATCAGTTTCATCCCACTTTAGATGAATTAGTTTGGAGATTCTTTATTTCTAGTAATGACTCTAGCCTCTAGAGAATTCATGGTTGAGTCGAGATTTACACTAGGCAATTCTAGAATTGTTGTAGAAATACTCATCTTCATTTGCTAGATGAATTCTTCAGAGCTAGGGTAGTGTTGATGTAGGTCTCTTCAAAATCATCAACAAAGAGTTTATAGTTATGGCCATTGAGTATAGTTCTAGTAAACCTAGAAGATCAGTCGATGTATATATATATATATATATATCATTTTTACCACTTATGTGTTATGGGTTATTGAGTCCTATTGAGTCGTATGAAGTATTTGTTGGAGCATCATCATTCTTGTACTAGTGTTTTGAGTCATTTGGGCCTTATGTACATAGTGATGGTGGAACTCAAGACAAACCAAATTTATTTACCCTTTTTAGCTATTTTTTATCCTCCTTCGACTATTGTTTGATTTTCACCACCCTAGTTGACATTCATATCACTATTTGACCTTGACAACTCATCATCCGCCACCTTTTCTCTCTCCCATATGGCTTGAACATCTCCATCACTCTCTCCACTCTTTTTTCTTAATGGAAACTTCTTGAATTCCCCTCTACATTAAGTTTTTCTCAAAGAAACACACATAAATTCTTGAAAACCTACAATGATTCCTCAAAATCCAAAAGCTTTTATTTCTCTATCATTTCCAAGCATGGTGAACCACCCTTTGTCTATAAATTTTGGGTGTCATTGTCATCACTAATACACCCCCTCTTATGTTACATATGGATCTAGTTCTTGTTGAAAGAAAATTTAGAGATTCCCTTACACTTTAAGTGCAATTCTTGTGTGTTTTCTATCTAAGAGAATGATTTCTTAAGTGTGTAACTCCACAAACATTGGGAAATGACTTTCAAGGAGAAAGATTGACATGATGAAGGTTTATTTGTGGAGGCCTACATAAGTTATCCCTGATCGTTAAGTCTAATCTCTAATGGAGACTAGTCATCATCTTTCTTATTATTGCAAGGCTAGAAGTCTTAGATTGGTTAATATAATCATCATTGAAATCATAGTTCTAAGCTAATTAAATCATTAACTCGCTAAGTGAGTACATCAACAAAATATTTCTCTTGGTTTAGGTATCGAGCTCTTTGCAAAGTACACAAGTTTGGTAGCATATGTTCTACATAAACACAAGCATGCACTTTGGTTTAGTTGTAGTTGGTCATTTGATTAATTTGATTTGATATTTATATTTGGAAATTGTTTAATGTTATTCTACATGCTCATTATATGGGATTGGATTGGAAGAACTTCAAAGAAATTTTGAAGTGTGAGTTGCACAACCAATACACCCCTCCCTCATTTCAGTGTCCTAAAATTCACTTCCACCATTGATATTTTGCCAAAAAATCATATCATGCATTACAAATCAAAGATAGTTCTTGATTAATAGTTGTCAATTTGTTTGTGTATATCTTAACTATCCCATAAGACAACTTAAAAGATGTGCATAAATCGGTTTTGCTACCTCTACCCTGGTTGACAACAATAAACTCTTTGGTGGAAGTGTTTCTCAACCACAGAGGAATTAATGAAGCATAATTAATATATTAGAATTTATTTCAGCAATATGTGAACTTATTTTAAGTTTAAATTACTTCAAGAATTATTGTAATTTTTCAGTTTAATGGATTTAAATGTAATAAGTTGAGGCACCTCTTTATGTAAGGAGATTATGTGTCTATACTTCAACTTTGATTTCCCTTAACTCTAGTCTCCATCTCTTCTTCGTATCTCTATTCCTCTTCCATCTACCACTTCATCTAATTTCCTTCCCCAAGAGTGCCTCTTTCAATGCAAATTCATCTTTTTTTCCACTTCCGTTATTCTGTTCTATCCATGAATATTGACTTAATACAACATGGCAAAAAAAATAAAGGGGTTGTTTGTTTGCCTCTTTTAAGTAGGATTTATAGGGGACTTAATCTAACTATTAACAAACAGCATAAATTTTTTTAAATTCCGCCTAAATTAAATCCTGGATTTAGCAAATTTTGATCAATCTTAGCTAAAATCCAAGTTAAGCTAATCCTAGTAAAACTAAGATTTATAGAATTTACAGAAAAAGATTTTATTAAATAAATTAAATATTCAACCAAATAATCAAGAAATTGGATTTGACTTAAGTATTGGATAACCAAATAATCCCACAATCACGATTTACTAAATCTATTAAACCCTACTTGAATAAGATTTGTCAAATTCAAATTTACTAAAATCCTGCCTTCAACAAAACAGTCTCAAAAGGTCCATGGTTTTCAAACAGAAAAATTAGAACCACAGTTATTGAGTTTTCTCTGTATTTCTCGACACCGTTATCACAAAGCAGTCAAAATAAACAGAAGAAGAAATCCCACAAATCCATAAAAAAGCAATAAAATTTTTATTTAAGAAAAGTTATAGTCAAGAGAAAACTCGCTTAAAAAGAATCAGATCATCTCCCTTTTCCCAAAAATGAGAAAAAAAAAAAGCATTTAGAGAATATCATGAGTGAGTTCATCCCGCACTTCTAAAAACAAACATAAATCGTTTGGGGACACAAACAATTCCTCAGAAGTGGTCGATTTTGACGGATTAAATTGATTGACAGAATTTTTTGAATGGTGGGCTTGTTAGCATTGCAGATGACCCAATTTTAAGATGGATTGGGGCTTAAATTTATTAGAAGACCTAAATTAATAGAGATGAATGGGGCTTCGACTCATTGGAAGCCCATAAGCGGGAGTTATAAGGAAAGCCTAATGATGGGTTTTACATTTTATCTTATCAGCAATGATGACCAAGTTTATGTAAATTAGAAAAACCGACCTGATGGATGGGAGGGTACATAAAATTGGTGCAGATCGGGCACTCGAGCAGCTCTCGGATGCTAGTTGCAGGAGAAATTCCTGACTGTGGCATGGTGCCGTTGGCCACAGCTGTTCCATGTGCTTTGGGGAAGGGGATGTGGAGATGGGAAGTCCCTTCTACGTCCAATCCATCGCACGATGGAATGCATTCCAGGCTATCAATGTCCATCCCGGTAAAAAGGCAAAGCAGGCTCCTTTATCCCCTCCTCCTCCGCCTTGATTTCCCCTTGACCTCCGATTCAGAGAGAAACCACAAGGTAGAAAGGAATGCAGAGAGAGAGAGAGAGAGAGAGAGTTGAAAATGAGGAGAAGCGAGGAAGGAATAAGCAGAAGAAAAACGAAAAGGAAAGGTTCACCCGGTTGAATTAGGAACCGGCCGTCTAATCGGTCGAACTAATTCTGAAAATCGGTCCGCTAAAAAGTTAGACGAATCGCTGGTTAAACTATGAAACCGACGACGTGGCTGGATTTGAAAGAATGGCCTATATGAATGGTGATCCAAATCTTTGTCTTTTTGAAAAGTCGAGGCTCCGCTAGGGTTTTTTCGCTCTCTGTCGCCGCTCTCCCGTGCTTTGCCTTCGCGTAGATGGAGGGATCCATGGATCCCTCCCTCTCCAACTCCGTTTTTCCACCGCTCCACTCTGTCAGCATCTCCTCGCGTAACATGCATCCTGTCTCACAGCCAGTTTCTTCTCATAACCCCCTTCCTTGGACCATGGTTCTCGCTGACAACCCTAACCCTAGCATGTTTGCTGTCTCTGCTATTCCAACTCTTGAGTACATAATCCTGTTTGCGCATGAGGATGTGGTTGAAGCTTCTTCGAAATGGAATATGGCTTTGGTAGGATACTCTCTGGGTAAGGGCAAATTATTGGGTCAGGTGACCGGACGCAGAGATAGGTCCAGATATTAATAAATTAATATTTTAAATTAAGCGCAGGTAAAGCGCAAGTAAAGCGCAGGTAAAGTGCAAGTAAAGCGCAGGTAAAGCGTGTTGAGTCTAGTGAATAGGTTGTTAAACCTAAGTTAATGTCTCAAGACTACCAAGAGGGGAGGTGAATTGGTATTTAAAAAATTGTCCCTGTTTTAGATGAGTTGAACTGAAAATAAACTTTAATGAATATTTATAAAAAGTTTTTCAACTACAACTTTTTAAACAGAAAAATGCAGAAAATACAAAGCAGTAAAAATAAACGACACAAGATTTATAGTGG